AGTAATTATTTGTGATAATTACTACTATTAATAACTCCCCCCAGACACAATAGACAAACCAGTTTTTGTTTTGAATTTTAACGTACATATATAGATTTGTTTACTACAAAGTATTACAAAACCTTTAATTTAGCAATGTCATAAAATCGATTCATATTTTAAAATACTTTTAATATTTTAATAAACAGTATGATTACTCACCAGATTGCCACCGATCCGGGTGCCAATGTAGCCGCCCAGGAACTGCGTCAGTATATAGCCATAGAAGAAGGAGCTTAGGATCAAGCCCTTCTGCTTAGAGTCCCAGGGAAAGTCCTGCTCGTAGGATATATTGCCATCCCCATCCACCACTGTACGGTTCTCCGTCATGGCCACAATGGCCACCGACAGGTTCACCCGAAGAGAGTACACGTTGAAGAAGCCAAAGAAGGCGAGGAGCACCACAATGTAGCGCTGTTTACGCCAGAAGCGCCAGGTAAGCGGTTCGCTCTCCGTGATTTCATTGCTGTGAAATGGGCAAAAAATTGGTTAGAGGAGAAGGAAGAGGAGTTGGTAGCCATGCAAATGATGAGCCCGAGGGGATCACTTTCCCTTTCTGTTGGCCAGTATTTACTGCAGGCAGTCTGGTTTGCTCTGTTTCTGTTTCTTTTTCTTATATTTTTGTTTTTACGTCTAGCCACGGAACCAGTTTTAGAGCGGTTTTCTTATCGACTGGTTTATTCAACCCATTTCGCCCCAGGCCCAGAGGAGTCTATTTGCTAGGCAAGCTTCATTTATTCACACAGTGACTTTTGCAGGGCTTTGATAAATGTTTATAATTAATATTAATAATAATTAATAATTCTAGAAAGCCAATATTATTTATTAAAACATGAATTCAAGTTCTGTTCTTGATTATCACTTTGTTATTTAATTAAAACATTCCTCAAACCCCACTGTGTAAACTCTTGAATTATCTCCATATGCCTTAAAGCATGCGGAAACCATTTGAAGTGGAACCATAACAAGATTGTTAGCCTTGGGGAAAGTACTCACTTGTTGTGGCCCACCTGCTCCAGATGCTTGCCATTCTTCGGGGACTCCAAGTCAGTAGTCATTGTGCCAGCCAGCCGATCGATGTGAGCCTGGAAAATGCAAATAATTCAACCAATTTGTTTATACAATACAATACGGCAACTCATGTGCGTGATGGCGATTCATTAAACTTGCACTTAGGTCTCTCCCTCATACAAAAGGCGTGTTATAATTTCACCAATTGTTAGATCGCGCCCATGCACAGGGGCTATATATAGTCGCCCGCCCGCGAGATCGGTTGCGTGCTGCGTCCCTTAATTGACATTGACACTGAGCGAAGAGCAAACATTTTGCTAAGCAATTTGTGGGATACTAATGCGGAAACATAATACGACAGACCGAGATTAGAGGCGGGAAGAACGAGATATCTGGACAGCAGAGCATCTTAACTCAATTATCCATTTAACTTATTAAGCGAGTGCTTCGCCAATTGTGGCACGCGAAATCCGGCGGAGAATCTATAAACCTCATGGATGTCATAATCAAATAATTGTCCAGCCGACTTGATTCGCTTTGATTTGCAAATTGCATGAATATTCGGCACAACACGCGCTGCCTTTGGTTGCCATTAAAAAATTGAAGCAATTGCACAGCCAGCACGCACGTGTGGGAAATCAGTGAAAGTACTCGGCTTGGGTACTAGGTACTCTCCACTCCGGTACTCGACATTTGTGGGTACAAATAGATACCAGAATTTGTGCTTATCATTATGGTTTTATGGCACAACTACCGCTCAATTGATTACATTTGCCTGTCATAAACTGAATAAACCAAAGGAAAGTGCTTACCGCAAGTTTTCCATGCTATCAAACATTTCCACAATCGGCTATCGTAAAACAATTTACTGCTCCTATTAAAAAAATAAAAAAAAACTAATTGCTATTTAATGAGTTTCTCGTTTTTTATGGCAATCATAAAATGTTATATATAGCCTGGTCTTATCCTTTTATTGTCCTATGTATGCTTATCTGCAAAAATTCCTGGTCTTCTTGACTGCGACTGAGATTTTTATTTTATGAAGTGCCATTTTGGGTATCGTAAATTCCGGCCTCGGGTGATGGGGTTAGCCTGGGGCAAACAAAACATCTTCGACAGCTCCATGAAAAAATACATGAAGCCAAAAAACCTGTTGCCTCTGATAAGTAGCTCGTTGCGACAAAAATATTTACCTCTTTGCTTAAAAAATAGGCATAAAAGGCAGTACCTAACCTGACACGTGATAACCGAACAAGTCTAATAAAAATACGCAAATTATTCGATCCAGAAAACACCTCTCATAAGGTGTATGCAATCTACATAAAGATTTGCATCCCAGCAGCTGCAAGGCGGCAAAATGTCTTTAATTAAACTTCATCGAAGACAGTTGAGCAAACAGCTCACCGAGTTCATTAAACACCGGTACATGTGCACAGAAACACTTTTGAAACTTTTTCTTAATGTATGTAAAATACGTTAACTTTGGCACAAAACTTTTTTTTTGGAAGGCAAAAAATCGATTAAATAAAAACTTAAAACGCACCGATGAAAGTTGGAAAGAGCGCCTGGGAAACTGGAATCCTCTGTCAACTGCTTGGATCGATCCGTTCGACTGCACTGCTTGCCGCTAGGTGTGGGCGTTGGGCAGGTGTGAAGTCGCCGGTAGCTGGCAACGGACTGATCCATCCATCTGCCGGCAGCCAACAGCTCGGCTCGGCAGCGAGAGCTGGGATTTCCACCCCGCTCATCATCGTTCAGTTTAACTTCAATTGAGGCACTGGCTCGGGGAGCAATAAAGCCACCAGCCAGAGCGCCAAAAGAGGCAGGAACGGACCCGACCGAACATTGGCGTGATTAGGACGCCAGCACTGATAGGGATCGGCATAAAGCTTATCGTTTGATTAGGCGGAATATGTGGCGCTTGTAAAGATAAATTCTTTCAGCAATTCGGGCGACCATTGCTTACGCGCTCAGCCCACCATTTGCTGATACTAAATTGAATCTGCGAGATTTGCCACTAATTTCGGTAGCTACTTTTAGCACGAGTGTGGAATGAGGGAAAATGAACAGGTTCAAGGTTGGTTGCTTTTAATTTAAGTTGATTTCAAGACGGTTCCGTTTAAGAAAGATTTTTTTAACGTGAAATAAACATATATATACGGAATGGTAGAAAAAATCGAAAAACCATATTTTAACGTTTCGATAAATGTATCGACATATCTGTCGATATTATTTTAAATACATTCGAAAAATATATTTTTGGTGTACATAATAATAAATAATATTGTGTTTGAATAGTTTTCTATATGATCTATCATATCAATGTATGAATCAAAATTTGAACATTTTTTTATAGATTTATCTAGATATACGATATTACTTTTGAATTTATTAAAACCATATAACTGGAAAGAGAAAAACTAAATATTGTTTTCAAATAATATTGTAAATAATAATTTATAAACCGCTATTTTATCGTTTCGATTTTTTTATTATTTTTTTATTTATTGAACGAATATGATCGGAAGATAAGAACATTACTATTATTTTTTTCGGAAATTTATAGATTGTATCGTTTTATATCCAAATTTTCATATCTTATAGTACGGAAAATAGCGATAACTAAAATTTAATTTACGATATTTATAATATAATATTAAGGCGAAAAAAGCGAGAAGGCTTCACAGGGTTTTTCAATTTTTTAGAGCTAATCGTTGTTTAATTTATTATACAAGTTATAATTTAAGGTAAGAGTTAGTTCTAATGCTAAATTTTTTTTTTAATTGTTTATTTTATTACTCATATATCATTTACTAAACCCTTTATTACATTTACAAAAATAATAATCATGATTATAGCCGCTATAAGGTCACGCCCATTTTTCTGCCTGCGCCCCTTAAACTAAATTTAAACTTGCTTTTCTATTTAAATGTTTGTATTAATTATTCATTCATGTCTAAATAATTTCCACGAAAACAGGCACCTAATTGGATTAGCACAGTTAATTGATGTTATTAGCCTGTTGAAGTTGCTTTTATCAAATTAGTAAACATAATTGATTAAATAAAGGAATTTCTAATAAGCAACATATTATATATCTGTCATAGATATCAATGGATCTAATGATAAATTTTTAAGGATATTACTATTATTATTTTCTATAATATTATAATTATATAGTTATTTCTACTTTTATTTATAAGTAACCGCAATGGTGTAAACAAGTCGGTGCCAAAAAGAAATTAACGCACCGCAGAAATTAACAGTTAGGGATCGGGCACGACAATTCTGCAGCTCTACGCCTCAAACTAATGTCATCTATTTTCATTGGCGAGTGCGAATTATTGTGGTAATTGCTTGCAAACAAACAAAATTGCATAAATATCCAGTTCGAGGTGGTTTTCTATATTATTTTAAGATCAGCGCCTGATATGATTTTCGTGTGGTCACTAATTAGCAGAGCCTTATCGCCGCTACACTAATATATATTCTTAGATATTCATTCAGCTAACTTTGCCCAGGGGCGTGTCGCTCTGTTAACCCGCTGTAGCTTAACAGTGGCAAGCAGTTTGCTTAACAGGGCTTTGCTGTGCTTAACCTATCAAGTTTACACAGCTCATATGCCTCGTTGCCTCGCAATAATTGCCGTCATTTGTTTGCAATATTTTTTTCCGAGAAAAAACAAGAACTTGAGCTATTGAAAAAATATCATAATTTTTTGAGGACAAAGTGGAATAATATTTTAGATTGTAAATTGTTATGTTTGGGAGCGAGCAGACAGAAGCGATCACGTCGAGTGCTTATTACCAACTGTTTATTCATATCGTATACTGAAGAAGTGTAAGGTTGCCAGATAGGATAGAATGTGTGTTGTACAATGTGAACATATTTTGTGAAGGTTTAAAATTAAGAATACATTTGATTATACATAACACATCTCCTCCTTTAATTTACGAGCGATGCGGATGTTTTTGTTGTCTGAAGTCCTTAGGCTTGTAACGATCGACTTCTTGGCGAACTCTGGTGCTTTGACGTATTGGGATGCCCGAACGACGACGTGTTTGTTGTAACTGCACCGGTTGTTGGTTGGGTGCTGCTATGTGCTCCGGTGGATCAGGGACAGGATCAGGTTGTTGGTTGGGTGCTGCTATGTTCTCCGGTGGATCAGGGACAGGATCAGGATTCTGAACAGCTGGCGTAGTTAACGGTTGATCTGGTCGTTGTGGTCCTTGACTGGAAGCTGACTGTGGGAGTTCAGGAACCCACCAAATCTCTGGAGATCTCTTATGTCGTTGAGTACTGGCAACTTCGGTTTCAACTGATTGAAATGGCGCTTGAAAAAACCATTTTTTGTTTTTACAACATAAATCATTTTTCCAATGGAACGGTCGATGATGCCTTCTATCCACTTTTCTCCCCTTGAATAATTTCGAGCATAGACCATTTGATTTGGAACGTACTTTGTTGCTGGCTGTTTAGCTTGAGTAGGTTGCTCGAAAAGTTGACTTAAAACGGTACGGACTGGTCGACCATGAATTAACTCGGCAGGAGTTTTCCCTTGTGCATTAGGAGTAAACCTGTAAGAAGCAAGATATTTAGTTACTGCTACTCGTACTGGTATACCGTCTTGAAGGTTCTTCTTGACTGAGTATTTAAACGTCTGTACAAAACGTTCTGCTAATCCGTTGGATGCTGGGTGGAACGGTGCTGTTGTGATGTGCTTTACGCCGTGTAGTTTGCAGAATTCTTTGAAGGCGTCAGCCGTAAGCTGTGGACCGTTGTCGCTAACTAGAGTCTTTGGGTATCCTTCTATAGCGAAAATTGATGATAATGCAGCGATCGTGTTATCTGTGGTTGTAGACGACATTTGAACAACAAATGGAAACTGCGAGTAGGCGTCTACACATATAAGCCACATATTGTCGAAGATTGGGCCTGCGAAATCGACATGAATTCGCTCCCATGCTGCTGTTGCTGCTGGCCAACTTTGGAACTCCCTTGGTGGTGCTGGATTGTTGCATTTGCAGATGTCGCATGACTGAGCAATATTTTTAATGTCATCGTCTATGGTAGGCCACCAAACATGCTGTCTAGCTAGCTGTTTCATTCGAACAATGCCCCAATGACCTTCATGTAAAAGTTTCAGGATATGGGCACGTAGGCTAGAAGGAATTACAACACGGTTTGCGTCTTTGTGTAGGCAAAGCAACTGCTTGTTGATGGTGAGAGCAAACTTCCGGTTAAAGTAAGGCAATAAGGCTTCGTTGCCTTGCTGAAGTTTTTCTGGCCATCCTTCAGATACATATTGAAGGACTTGCTTCAGAACTTTGTCTTTATCCACATGGTTGCGAATGGTCTCTGAATTGATTGGTGGAGTTGATTCCAATACTGTGTAGCAAGCTTCCTCTTCTTTATCAAAGTCTGGATCTGTACCCACTGGAAGGCGCGAAAGCGCATCTGCATTACCATGAGCAGATGTGGATCGGTACTGGATCTCAAAATTGTAGGCCATGAGAATAATGGCCCAACGTTGTAGTCTGTTTGACGTCATTAACGGCAGGTGCTTGCTTGGATTAAAAATAGTTACAAGCGGCTTATGGTCTGTAAGTAGAATGAACTTTCTTCCATAAAGATACTGGTGGAATCGTTTAACTCCAAATACTATGGAGAGTGCTTCCTTTTCGATTTGGCTGTACTTAGCCTGGTGCTTGTCTAGTGTTTTCGATGCGAACACAATGGGTCTCTCTCCGCCGTCTGGTTGAAGATGCGAAAGGACTACCCCGATGCCAAAGGATGAGGCATCTGTGGCGAGGACTAGCGGTAATTTTTCATCAAAATGAGCTAGTTGCGTTGCGTTGATGATGTGAGACTTCAGAGCTGTAAACGCTTGTTGCTGTTGTGGGCCAAAATAGTAGTTTACGCCTTTTCTTCGAAGTTGATTCAAAGGAGCCGCCAACTGCGAATAGTTTGGAATAAAGTTACAATAATAATTTACTTTACCCATGAATGCTTCCAACTGTTGTAAATTAGAAGGTGGACTCAAACGATTAACTGCCTCTAAGCCTGAGCTGTCTGGAAGAATCCCGTTTGCGCTGATTCTTCGCCCCAAATATTCAATTTCGTCTTTGAAAAAGAAACATTTTTCACGTTTACATTTGATGCCGTTCTCTTGAAGAATGCTGAGAACTTGTTCGATGCGTTGAAGGTGTTCTTCGCTTGTAGGTGCTGAGATGATGATGTCATCTAGGTAGTTGCCACAACCTTCTATCCCTTTTAGAAGTTGCTCAAGATATCTCTGGAAGATTGCTGGTGCGCTTGCAATTCCGTATGGTAGGCGCTGATATTGAAATAGGCCCAGTGGTGTGTTAACGACCATGATTTGCTTTGCAGCTTCATCCAATTCCATCTGAAGGTAGGCATCCTTAAGATCTATTTTGCTGAACTGCTTACCATGACGTATGATGTGGAACAGCGCTTCTTTTGTTGGCAATGGATACTGTTCGACGTCGATTTGTGCGTTTACTGCCTGCTTAAAATCGCCACAAATACGAATGTCGCCACCTGGCTTAGGTGCGAGCACGATTGGGGATGCCCAATTGCTAAATTTTACCGGTTTCCAAATTCCTGCTAAGGTGAGTCTTTCTACTTCTGCTTTGAACTTGTCCATCAGTGCGAACGGAATTTGGCGGCTTTTATAAAACTTTGGAGTTGCTGAAGCTTTTAAAAATACGCTGGCTTTGAAGTCTTTTATGACACCCATGGCTGGTTCAAAAACTTTATTGTACTTGTTGCATACATCAATTACTTTTTCATGGTGCACCTCATAAATGTTTGACACTTGCATAATATCAAACCCAAATATGTTAAATAAATCCAAACCGAAGAGATTGGTTGATGTTTCGATGTTTGCTACGATTATTGTTATTTGTTTTTGCTTTTCTCCACACTTTGCAACAGTGTGCAACTCCCCTAGTAGTGGTATTGGTGTATGACCAAACGCATGTAATACTCGGGAACACTTGTGCAATTTTGGCTTATTCAATAGCGCGTATGTATTAGAGTTTATTACTGAAGCTGTAGCTCCGGAATCCATTTGAAATGAAATCACTTGATTAAGTATTTCAAGATCAATTACTTTTTTGTTCTGTATACTTTTCACAAGACTTGTGACACTGTGCACTGCTTCGATATTTTCTATTTCATTTACTTTGCTTGTTTGCTTTCTTCCTTTTTTGTACTGCGCATTATTTGACTTTACATGTTTCGACATACACACGACAGATATATGCCCTTTTTTACCACACTTGTGACAAACTGCTTCGCGAAATTTGCATTTTTCTCTTTGATGAGATTCACCACAGCCAGAGCAAGACTTTAAGTCATTTTTGTATGGTCTGACGTCACTTGCACTGCTTGCTGACTTTTTGCGTATGTGTGGATCGCATTGATTGGATCCTGTCTCGGTAAATTCTCTTTAAGCGCTGCAATGGTTTTTGTTGTTGTCTCATAGGTTTCTGCAACTGTGAGCACATCTTCAAGAGTTGGCTGAGACTTTTGAAGAGCTGACGCACGAACGGCGTCGTAAGGCGTATGTACTATGATTTGATCTCGTATCATTTCATCTACATAGTTTGACAAACAACCGTTAGCGTTACACACAAACTGGCACTCACGAGCGATCCCGCGCAAATCGGCTACCCACTCTCTGTGTGTTTGTGTATGTTTCATTTCTCTTTTGAAAAATTCGTAGCGAGCCGCGACAACATGCCGTTTTGTAGTGAAATGTTCCGTTAGTTTGTCTGTGAGCTCTTTGTATGTGTATTCGTTTAAGTTATTGCTATCGAACAGATTTTTCAATAGCTCAAATATATTTACACCACACCATGAAAGAAAATAGGCTTTCTGTTTCTGTTCTGCACTAACCGAGTATGCGTTAAAATGCTGCGATAATTGTTCAAGGTACGATTCCCAATTCTGATTGTCTTTGTCAAATTTATGAAACGGTGGACACATTGATAATTCACTTTGAAGAGACGGTGAACTAGCTGCTGCTGGAGCACTTTTTTCCATTATTGCTTCCATCCATTTTCGTTGTTGCTCTAATATAGCTGATGTAAATTCTCGGTGTTGCGCAAGTATTGTCTGAATTTCGTTTTCGTTTTCTTTTTCTTTTGCCGCCATCCTGATGAAAATCAACGACTATGCGACACAATTATACATAAGAATGTAATATCCTTACGGCTGCGTTTGCTGGTATACACAAGAATGTTGTATTCTTGCGGCTGATTTACAGTTATATGCTGTTTTTTCTTCTCTTTTGCCTCGTCGCCAATTGTTATGTTTGGGAGCGAGCAGACAGAAGCGATCACGTCGAGTGCTTATTACCAACTGTTTATTCATATCGTATACTGAAGAAGTGTAAGGTTGCCAGATAGGATAGAATGTGTGTTGTACAATGTGAACATATTTTGTGAAGGTTTAAAATTAAGAATACATTTGATTATACATAACATAAATAATAACACAAATTTGGAGAAAATTTTTATTAAAAAAAATGAAAATAAGTCTATAAGGAGTAAATTAAAAATAATTAAATAAATAAAAAAAATATTATTACCCAGATATTATCAATAACAATTCAATTTTTAAAATCAGTCAATATTTTCAAGTAAGATGCTTAACAAATCTTAAAATTCAAAGTTCCGGTTTATATTGGAACAAATAAAATAATTTTTAAACAAAATAAAATCATGCTCAACGATCCTAAAACTGAAATGTCATCTAAAAACCTAATAACTACAGAAATTAATATCATGTACAGCATATTGCCCTCGAAATCAATCTATTATTTTAAAATTAAACTCTTTGTAAAATGTATATTTTCAATATATATAAATACAAAAAACAATATAAAACATATTTTTTCACAGAGCTTTTAAATGGAATATTATCTTTGCCTGTATCGAGGGGATACTTAAAAAAAAAAATATAGTAAATTGCCGTTGTGCCTTCTGTTGTCGGCGTCTCTTTTTACCTTTTGCTTTGTTTTGGTCCCGAACATATCATAAACAATTGGCGCAGTCACACGTGCTGCTGAACAAATAAACAAAAAGTGTGGCAGCTCAATTTACATGCTGCGAGCAGCTGCAGAGCACGTGACAAAAACATTGCAACATTCCGGCATTCTGAAAATTGGCAAAAGCAAAAGCAAACTGAAATGTGACACAACAGCAACATGTGGGGAAGCGCTGAATTAAAAACGGGAAGAAAATAACCAAAAATTGATGGCACAACAACAGGAGATTCCCCCAAGGAAATGTGTGTGTGTGTGCTCTGCCATTAATTGATTTTTGGGTCAGCGTCACCGCCACCGCACTTCTGCGCCTGTGATAACCCCGGAGCATTAAATTCACACCTTGATGCGAATCGAACGATAACGGACAAGTGGCCAAGTCGTGTTCTCACGCGTTTCGCATTAAAACTGGAGGAGTAGCGACATTTTAGCAATACAACAAAATGCCAACAAATTGGGTCTTCAAATAAAGTCGCTACCCCCACCGAATGCAGCAATTGTCCATGAGCAGAGCTCACTTTTGCCCAGCTCTGCAGACCAGAAGCCAGTTCCAGGTGTCGAATTTTCACCTGGACGGGAGAGCTTTGCATTCGGTTCTCCGTCGGCTTCATTGTTTGCGCCTTTGTGAGCGCTGGCTGCCTGCTCGCTGGCAAATTGCATTTTAATTGTGCGCTCAAAGCAAACGCAGCTAAGTGCAAACAATTTCAGCTGAATGCGCGACAAACAAACCCAGAAAATTGCTCGCCATGCTTAAAGCGGATTTTCCTCCATTTTATCCACGTAATTTTCATTCGAATTCCGTGCACCTTCAAGCTAAAAAAAAAAAAATAAAATAAAAATAAGCTGAGAGAATAAACGAAAAGCGTTCCAATGCAAATTTGTCTTTTGACTTTGACTACGTGAGCCTTTAATGGTTTTCTGCTAGTAACTTTAGCACAAAACTCGAAACTTTTCAACTTCCTGTGCCTGTGCCTGTGCCTGTGCCAGCTCCGTCCCCTTTGATTTCGAGTTGACAAAAGTTCCAGCGAGTTGAGCGCATATTACAAAAGCCCCCACCTTGCTCCATGCCTGACTCCTTGGACATGCCTTGCAAGGAGAAGAAGGAACAGAAGCTATAGCAGCTCACTATTCCCGGAGACTGGATCTGGGCCGTCCTGTGCCATTGCGCTTTTCTCCCTACTTGAAATGCAGCAGTAGTGAGCGAAGTAAAAGCACAAGTCCTAAAACTCTTCGATTCCCAGTCGCCCGGCCAGTTGGACATTTAATTTCCATTCCATTTGGACACACGTAATTCCCCGAAGGTTAACGCAATTCCAGCTCTCTGCCGGAGCTCTTTAAATATTTTAGCTGCCTGCAGAGCCGAACTTTGCCTAATTGCCAGCCGCCAGATAGCGCCGGGAAGTAGGCAACGCTGGAAAGAGGCCACAAGTCACGGCGAAGCCTCAATCTGCTAGATAAGTTTCTTTTTAACTCGAAGCTCAGTTATGGACATTAATTAACATAAATTGAAGGTTCTGGCCGATGAAGCTGATATCTTTAAGATATCATTTAAAAATGGAAGTAGAAACCGTAGATTATTTTATTATTTTATATCTTTATCTTTAAGTAAAACATTAAACGTTGTCGCCTTGAACTTAAAACTCTTTTTAATGGACCTTTGAATATATATCTATATGAACCCCAAGGGGAATGTTAGGACTTCAGTAAAGACCAGAGGTCAAGCTCATTTGGAATCTCGCATTTGCACACATGTTGTAATGTCATTTGATATGTCCGCGGGCTGAAAGCTTTTTAATGACCATAATTTCGCTGCTGCAGCTACTGCTACTGGGAAACACGCATCCTGGGTCAAGGATGCAATGCACATGAGTGGGATATATAGCCGGCGTATATATGTATAGTCAGGGCAAAGACAGGCTAACCTTGCGCATAATTAAGCCATGTGAACGCAGCAACCGCAGTAGGAATAGCAACAGAAGTACAAGCAACGGCAGCAGAGACATCCGCATGGTTAATCATACGCCACGTTGGCTTTGAAGGCTCTGAAAAATTTATTCAGCAGCAGCCGAAAAGCCTTTCAGCACTAACAGGCTTGCTGGCAGGCTGGCGCAACAACAATGGCAAATATTGTGACAATGGCGAAAACAAAAAGGAACGGTGAAACGGGTTGAGCTGGATGCCGACATGGGGGTAGGTTTCACCTGGTTGAATTGGCGGTACAAGAGCTCCCGCTTGTGTAAATATAGAATTTTATAATAACAAAGCACGTCGCAGGTGCAATTAGTGTGCAAATAAGCGTTTATTTGCCTTGCCAGACAGAGAGACAGACAGGACGACAGTCGTCGGGATTTGTAAGCCACAGGGATGGAAGAGCGGAGAGGGGAGCCATACAACTGACCTCGTTTGCACCCCTGACGAAAATTAGAATTCAATTCAGTTCAAGCAGCTCTGCCGCTGGGGAGTCATATTCAAGAAAATTGGCCAAGATTATGTCAAGTGAAATTGTGCTGGCCCATAAATCAAGCAACCTTCCGCCGGGGTGGCCACAAGCAGGCGGCGGGCGGCATTCAGCATCCATTGCATGTTGCAGTTGC